ATAATAAATCACTTGGTTCACATATTTTTATGATCTTATAAATAAGCATTGTTGAGGGAGTCAAAAGTGTATCTGTAAGTGGTGACAATGAAAAACCATCTTTTTGATACACCATTTTTGATGGGACAAGAAGGTTAAACATTGCCAAAGATATTATTATACTTTTAAATAGCAGCTTTATATACTTTAAAATTACCATTATCTTAAATTTTCGAGAGAATAATGCTTTACCAATTTCTGCTCAAGTGGCTGCAAAAAGTAAGCAAGCATAACCTAATTTTGTTAAACTTATAACTACTGAATTGCATAGTTTTTCAGTTTAAGTAGAATTGTCTACCCAGACTTTTGTTGCTATCTGAGTGTTGGGATTCCAAATATTTAATAACAACAACAATACATCTTTTAAATGAAACATAAAAAAGGTTATTTTCTGAAATAAATGTAAGCAAAATGTCAGCTGAAATAACATATTCTTTTCAGAAATATCAGTCAGTTATGTGCCATGCATGATATACACTTAGGCGATCATGTATCTTTTGATACATGACTGATCAGGCAGATTTTTTCTCACAGTAGGTTACCATTTCTTTCTGCGGTAGACTAGTTGCCATCCAAGTCTATAGAACCTGGTCTGTTCTGCTATTTACCAATAGCCAGGGGGAGAAGAAGAGGATTCATACCTTTCCCAAGGGTATTAGCACATAAGTGAATGTAATGGATTCTTCAATCGGAGCTGCTATCCATTATTCCACTGTGGCACAATAACATTAAAATGTTCAATTTTCCTTGCAATGAATTTTGTTTTAGAAAGTAATTAAGTGTTCATAGTGCTGGGTGAGATGTGTAGATAGACATACATTATGAGGTCAGCCTAATGTTTCTGTCTCTACATGAACAAGGCCTTAGTTGGCAGCTGCTGGTTCTTCTTTTCCATTGTGTATGTAGATGTATGTGTGTACATACATGTAGATCAAACAGGCCTCTAAAATTTTTTGGACCTTGAGAACAGTATGCTTCTATCTTTATACCCGTCAGGGAATTCAAAATCTAATTTCACATAGAGGTGTGAACTTTTTGAATACCAGGTTTTCATTAGTTAGAAAATAATCTCAAACTGACTTGCAGAAATCTTTTTCTTGATTTTGCGGGAGTGGTGAAAGGAGTTATTTTCTAAATAGTCTACAAGTATATTCACCAAATATATTGGCAGTATTTGCCCTAGTAATTATTGTTTATGAAACAACCCTTCTGATAGGATTTTATTGGTTGAAAATAAATAATTCTCATCTTTTTTGACTTAAGAAATTATGTATATATATATATATTGAGTTGTAGTAAAAATGAATTGTAATGAAATTCTATTAAATTTTATGAAATTATTAAAGCATTTACTATATGTATATAACACTTGGTTCAAATTAATTTTATGAATTAGATTCTTGAATGCAGTTGAATATTTTATTATTATTATTGAGTAAGAGAGCAGTGAAAGAACAGCAAGCCAATCAAGTGATGATCGGGTACAAATATACAAAGCCTAATATACTCATCATAATACCCAGTCTGATAAGGGTATATTAGATACATGTATCATAAATGTGTGTGATATGGTGACAGGTTTTAGATAAAAGCAGTGTATAACTTTGTAGTTAGAAATACCTTCAGGTTGGTTATCTTAGTCTGCTCAGATGGTCTCCAATTGAGGGAGTTCCCAAACATGTGGATTCCAAGTTGCCTTGCTGGCATCATCCTTTAAACTTAGAAAAAAAAAAAAACCCTCTTGACATCTGGTCATATTAATATTATTATTATTATTGCATAAGATAGCAGGATGCTTGCAAAGTGAGTCAGGAGTACAAATATAGAAAAAAATGATATACCTATCATGATATCCAGTCTGGTAAGGATATGCCAGATACATGCATCGCAGACAAATGTGCACGATATGATGACAGGTTTTGATAAAAGATTATCATTATTATTATTAAGAGAGTAAGCACATCAGTAAAGGGATAGGGAGGTATATGAGGCCCAATATACCCATAATGACAACCAGTCTGATAAGGGCAGGGACAAATTATCCTATAGGCTAGTACAGTCTGCATTCTAGGGCCTCTCAAGCTCGGTTATAATGTTAGTTATAAAAAAATTTTTTTTTTTTGTTTTTTTTTTTACTACGGGTATGTTGAAATATATGCTAATCTGGTTTGTAATAAAGAGTAAAATATTGGTATTTCTTAAAGAATATTTTTATTGACAAACAATGTCAATCGTTATCTACTGTCCTCCTGATTACTCTTCTTTTGTTCTTGCTCTAATTCTTCCACACCCAGTAAACCCCTTGTGTTTTAATGGCTTTTCTGCCTTGCTTGGAGTGAACTCAATTAGAAAAAAAGCACAAACAAAAGATAGCTATTTTAGTTTATTTAAAGAATTTCAAAATAAGTTTACTTCAAGCTATGTAAATGTCACTAAAAAATATATCACCAGTAAAAAAATATTTAAAACTGGTGCTGGTGAGTTACAGGATGGCTTTGTCTGAAGTGAGGGTCATTTCATTAGCTTAGGGCCCCGCAAAGGTCATAATTCGGCCCTAGATAAGGGTATACCAGGTATATACATTACAGGTATGTAACCTACTCAGTTTCGATGGTTTCCAATTGAAGGTGTTCCCATATATCTAGATAAGACTCACAAGTTGCCTTCGAACTTAAAAATAAAGCAAAACAAAACCCTCATGACACCTTGCCACTAATCCTGCTCATGAAGAGAAATTCAGTGTTTCAGCACCTAGGTGACTTACCTAACTGGTTATAGTCAAACAACTGACAAGTAAATGAAATCCAATGTCAGTGCAAGGATCTTGTGGGCCCCCACTAAATTTATGATATGGGACCTCTCACACTACTGCATTTAACTTTTCATGGAGGTAGTATTCATATAAAATACAAATTTTAAATGTAACCTAATTATGTACAATAATGGATCATATGCAATATAGGTGAACAATTCAACTAGAAAAATTGAAAATAAATTGTACTTCCACTAATTTGTGATACTTAATTTTTAAAATGAATTTTAAAAATTAAAAAACTTTCTTGAAGCTTTCATTTTAGCTTTAATCAACAGCTAAAGGATTAAATTTACTATTTCCAGTAAGCAAAATACTCTGTAGTGTATTTCAAACAGAAATTCTCTTGATTAGAGTGGATTCATTTTTTTTTGGGGGGGTTAAAAATAGCTGATTAGTGCCCTTGTTTAGTCATCTGACATCACACTGAATTTTTCTTTATTAAAAAAGTCTTCCAAAAATAAAATATGCTTTTCTGAAACTATTTGAGGAATATTAGCTGATTTAAAGTATAATTAATCTGACTTGAAAAAATATTATTTACTTTAAGTTTAAATTAACAGAGAAATGGATTTTTAAAACAAACAGTAGCAGTGATTTACATGCTTTTTATCAACTGTCAATCACTTAAGAAGCACTAAGGTGCTGGTGGTTGTATGGAGACTTCATCTGTCGAAACATAATTTAAGAAAAACTTAATTTAAATACGGAGACTTCATTTATTACATAATTTTTCTTTTTTTATGTTTTTTTATCAACAGATGAAGTCTCCGTACAACAACAATAAAACTGTCAACACCTTATCAGTACTTGTAAATGTAAAGTGATTGACAGGTCTATGCTTTTTTATATAATTTTTAAGTACTTTAAAAATGTTTTGATCTTATTTTCCGATAATGTTGTGTATAGTCACACATACTTTCAAAATGGTCATATTTATACACATAACAAAAAAATTATTTTTAAAATTTTAGTGTGTGATGATTTGTATTAAGCTTTTTTAAATAAATACAAATTAATTAGATCATTCCACCTTAAATCAAACAATATTTTGCATCAATTTTTAGCATCAATTTGAGATTTCTTTTAAAAAAGTTGAATAATTTTAACTAAGTTTTCAACATTATGGATAAAATATAGTGAATTTTATACTGTATATTTTTTTTTCAAGCAGAACGAATTCACGAATTTGGACAAAAAAAAAAAAATAAAAACAGAATTACGTCAAAATCGGCGAAAAATTTTCACAAGTGAATTGTGCATAGTTTTAGGTAGAAAACAGCAAATGTTGATAAGATAGCAATGGTCACAAAGTACTGCCTGGGCCATTCAGTTTTTGGGGGTAGTGTGTGCGCCGGCCCTGAGTAAATCTTTAATGGCAAATTTACTAGCCTATCTTAATTCATTTATTTATTTATTTCACCAAGAAGACAAAAGCTCTTATTAGCAGTAATAAATAATTTATTTTAAAGGGAAATACTTGTTCTTTCTTTTGCAATTAAAAGAAAAATATAATTTATTTGTTTGAAGACTCATTCATAACACGTGTGCAAATTTCATGAGCGATGTTCTAATTTATTGTTTCATTGAAGACTGAAAAAAAAAGTTAAAATTTGCATATATCTTTTTTTTCACTCATTCCTCCTAAAGACTAAAACATTCTGACAATAAATTAAATAAAATATTTTCTGATTCTAGTTGATATTTTTCACCTTCAGCTCTGCTAAAAGACAAAATATTTATTAAATTTATTTTTTTACTTTCTTTCAAAGTTTGAAATGAAGTAAAAAAAAAAAAAAAAAAAATTTGAAATTCAATCTGAAAGAAAAAAGTAAAACGTATTTTTTCCACATGACTACACTTATTGATAAACGGGATGAAACCCATTTTTAATAATACAATAGAATTTTTTAAAAAAGTCAATAGTTGCCAACATAAGAGCTCTTGCAATATTTTATGGTATTCCAGTAAAATATGCACCTAATAAAATCCAAATTAAAATTAAAAAGTTTCTTTTTTTCCGAACGTGTAAAAATGTAAAAAGAGATCAATTTACGACTATGTCGTTATTAGTTTGTCATTTTACATTTTGCAGCAGTTGTGGACTTATTTTACGGCATCCGTCCTGTGCCAGCACTTACAACAAAGCATGGAGGCAGGTTCGTATTTAATTTATTTTTTTTAATTGGCAGTCAAATTGCTTTCTTGAATATTTGCAAATATTTTAGAGTAATATTTCGAGAAAGCTTATCTATTTGGGTTGAGCAGTTTTTATCCAACTGGTCAAAAGTTCAATTTTATTGACGCGCACCAGCATCGCCGCTTAAAAAAATGTTTTTTCAATTTTTGTTTAGACGGCTGGCTGGGCAGTATTCGCTAAAGTAAAACGATTTATTTGTGCAATTTTATCTTAAGGGTCATTAAAAGGTGCGTTAGGCCATTTTTTCCCTTAAAGTACACGCAGAAACTTACAGAAAAAAAGTTTTAAGAATCGCTTGCCACGAAAATTTGTTTTCGTCTACGACGTAGTTTATTTTTAAAATAAAAACTAAAAAGGATAAGTTTAAAATTTAAAGTTTAAATCTTTTGAAATGTGAATTTAATAAATACTGCTTATATTGTTAAGCTTAATTAGTTTTTTATTATACATTCTGATTTCTATTTAAGTAGTTCAAACTAAAAGTAACATAGGGTAAAAAAAAAAAAAAAAAATTAAATCTTACCTTTCCAATCCTTAGTTACATTATTTTTATGATTTTTTTCATACTATGAAAAGGTTTTTTTTTGTATTGATTTATTTTTTGCTTTCTTTCTTTTTTAGTTTTCCTTGAGTTGAAAGTGTTAAAAAGAAATTTCAGTTATTTGTCTCATTTTCAGAAAAAAAAGTTCATTTTTAGTCAACATTTACTAGTTTTACTAAGCCGTATTTCCCTAAATTCAGTATTGCCTCTAAATATTGAATTTCGGAAAACAGGGCTTTTTTACCTTCTCAGAAATACCAGGTGGAATCACAATCACACCTGCCTGTTTAGCTTAGCAGCTATAGCCCACAGGAAACACTTTTTCCAGCTCTAACAGCATGATAGTTCCTATCATAAGAGAGGCTTCATTTTGTCTGCTTGCAATGTCCTCAAATGTTACCAAGAATCTTTGTTCACTAACAGAATGAGGTGCTGTATAGCCTCTAACAAGTTTGGTTCTTGTGACTACAGGCGGCTTTGTAATAGTGTTAAATAAGAGTAAGTCTTTTATTCCTCTCTTCCCAGGTGAGGTGTTATCATCTGCTGATAAGGCAGAAAGCCCTGCTCATAAATTCTTCAATTCTACCCTTGATTTATCCATAGTATATTTGCCTAATTTTCCACTTAGAACTGAGACTTTAATGTGTGATTTACTCCATTCATAGTTTCTGCTGTCATCTCTCAACTGGATTCCCACAAAGTAGGACTTGATGGTATCCCTGCAAAGTTCTTAAGAAATATGCTTCTGAACTGGCTCCTGTTCTCTGTAAACTCTACAGTTAATTCCTTGTTGTTGCTTGCTTTCCTGCTTCTTAGAAGTACTCTTCTGTAATTCTAGTCTTTAAGAAGTGAGGTGAACTGTTTGATCCTGCTATTGATCTGTTAGCTTTCTACCTTTTTTTTTTTTTTTTTTTTTTTTTTATAGCCCTAATCAATTCAGAATTGGTTAAGCATTTCACCTCCCAGAAGTCTTTTTTCACACAAGCAATATGGTTTTGCTTCTCTAGATTAACTGTTGATGTTTTAATGCTTATTGCCAAAAGACTCTATTAAGCTTTAAATAAGAATGGTGAAACTCTGGCTGCTGCTTTGAATATTTATGCATCTGGCATGCTGGTCTTCTTTGAAGTTGAAATGTTATATTTCTGGATGAATCTTTGATCTAAATCAATCTTATTAAATCATGCATTGAAATTTGTCTTGAATTGCTATACTTTTAGATGTTTTTGCATTAATGTGGGTGTCCCCCAGGGCTCTATTCTTGGACTTACACTGTTCCTAATTTTCAACTTTGTATCTATGCTAATGACCCAATTATTTGCTCCTGTCTTAATAGCAAAGTCTGATAGGTTTGATAAGGTCAGATTGGTAGTTGATCTCCAAAATGACTTGCATCTCTTGTTAACCCAGGCAAGAAATGTCTTGTTAATGTCTCCAAAACAAAACTACCCTCTATTAATTGTCTTTGAGAACATTTTTGCCTTTCATCTGCATAGTTGATGCTAACCCCCAGGAGAGTGATTTATTGCTTCTTCTCTGACTAATATTTCTGCTGACATGAAGTGGAGTGATTATATTGAATCAATTGCTATGTCTGCTGCTGGGAAAGTTGGTTCACTGTGTCATGAAAGATAATTTTTTCTCTCCAGAATCTAGCTTACATTATTTATAAGTCTACCCTTTGACCATGCATTGAATATTGCTGTCACAGCTGGCTTGGTGCTTCTGCTATGTATTTAGAAATTCTTGACAAAATTCAAGGAAGAAGCTGTAATGTTATCTGTTCTGATCTGAGATCTCAGTTTTACTCATTTTTCCACCACTCTGACATGGCTTTTGTGTACCTTTTTCTATAAATATTTTTATGGTAACTGTTCTGATTAGCTTTCTTCTGAAATTACTAAATGTAACTGTAAGTTCTATGCTAACAGTTTCTTTTCTTACACTGTGGAACTCTGTTCCAGCCTCTTGCTTTCCAGTCAACTTTGAGTTACAACAATTGAAATGCAGTGTCAGTTATCTTTTGTCTCCTTCCTGTTCTTTTATTGTTCTCTCTCTTTAATGTTTTTTTTTTTTTTTTTTCTCATATTCTTTCACACTCAGCAATCCCCTTGTGTCTTATTGGTTTTATTGCCTTGCTTGCGGTGAAATTATTAAAAAAATACTTTACATTTATAAAGAAATTTATGCAATGTAGTTTGTCCTTAAAAAAAGGTTTAAATTTATAAAGTGAGGCTATGTTAATTTTTTGTATTATTTTTTTAGAATGTTTTTGTCTTTTTCTACATGTATATTAAACAATAAAGGTTTACTTGTTTGTGATATTACAAATAGGCTTTGTTAAAATTTTGTTGACCATTGACGAATTTGGCCAATTCCATGGGTTTTGTAGTCTAACAAAAAAAATCAAAATTGATTTTTTGTACAACTAACTTCAAGTAAAATGAAAAAAAAATCAGTTATCTCTTCTTAGTTATAAAAATTAAGTTTGTTTAATAACAAGATTCACAAACACTTCATGCACAACATTTTATTGATTTTTGTATTACCAATATTATTTTTGTTATTTTTTAAATGAGGGGTTAGATTTTTATTATATATTAAGATTAGTATCTGCCTCCCCCCCACACCCCAGATACTAAATTATTTCTGTAGTGTACTGTTTCATAGTGTACAATTCAAACTTTCAATAGTCTTTCTTTAACTATGTTCCCCTAAAATGAAAATAGATACCAAATGAATGAACCCAGGTCTCATTGCAAATTGAAAAATATCAAAACAATAAAAACCGAAGAATAATTTAACTTTTCTTAAATTAGAATTGCAAACTCAATTTTTTTACAAATTTAATGATTATTTCTTAGCAATTATGTTCAGAGAAAAATGACATGCACATCAATATTTCAAGTGAATGATTCTGGTAAGAATAAGAATTTCTATCAGTTCTTTCATAACTAAAACATTTTCATTTATTTAATTACTTACATTTTTTTTTTCGTAAATCCCTGAAAAAAGAAAATTAATTCTCTTAATAATATTAGGTATACCACCATGGACTTATCATATTCAAAAATGCATTTTAAATGTTTTCATTAATGTGAAATTTTGGCTTTATTTGAAAAATGACAACCCAAAGCTAACTGGAATTAAAAAAAAAAAACAAATGTATTTAAATAAAGTTTTCAGATTATTTTTAAAGCCTTGACATGGTCACTCATTGAGTTTCCATTATAAATGAAAAAATGAAAACAACATTTAAATAAATCTTTTAAAAATGTTAGAGATTTGTTTAGATATTAACTGCATTTTGTTTAAGTAATGGTTACTTGTTTAAAACAGCAAAATAATGTTTATTTAGGCAGAATGTCACAAAGGTCATAGGTCAACAACAGTAGTCTTCTACTAACAACCCCAACTTAACAGTATGTAAAATTTAAATTAGTACAGAGGACCAAAACTATTATCATCTAGAAAATAATAGTATACAGTTGCGGCCAAAATGTTCAGAACGGCATTTTGTCAGAAAAGTAGATATAAGTTTTTATCAAAGTTGTTTTATATTCTATAATTTTCACAGACAATAAATACGATATTAATTGCTATTGTCTAAGATTTTGATGTAATTTGAGAGGATAATGCAAAAGTTATGGATGATTTAGTGATTTACTGCAAAACCCCTGGTGGCCAAAATGATCAGAATGGTTGAAAAAATAACAAAATGATAAAAAATGACAGAATACTGGAATTATTTAATATTTAGTGTGAAGCCCTTTAACTTCAATCACACTTTGACATCTTTGAGTGCATGAGGAAATTAAATTTTCAATTTCTTGCTGGGTGATCTTATTCCATTCTTCCTGAAGGGCATTCCATAATTGCTTTAGGATTTCTGGCTTCCGAACATTCTCCTAGAATATTCCACACATTTTCAATAGGATTGGGATCTGGGCTTTGAGCAGGCCAATCCATAACCTTTTCAGCCTTGTGGAAGTTCATGACCACCTTAGCCTTGTGACATGAGACATTGTTCTGCATGAATATGGGTGGTCGCTTAGTTGAATTTCTCAGCACAGGCAAGACATGATCTTTTACAAGTTGTTTATAAACTCCTGCATTTACCTTTCCATCTAATTGCACCAAAGGGCCCACACCATCTCCAGATATCATCCCCCAAACCATGACACTTCCTCCACCGAATTTAACACTAGTCTTAAGATATTTAGGCGACGATTTTTCACCTACTTTTTGATGAACGTACCTTTTCCCATCTGAGCCAAATAACATAAACTTAGATTCATCACTGAAATGCACTGTTTGCCATTTTTCTTGAGACCACAACACATGTTCGGTTGCAAAGGTAAGACGACACTCTTTATTCTTGGAGCCGATCAGTGGCTTCACTGCAGGTGCTCTTGCTTGTAGGTCATGTTCAACTAAACGACGAGACAGTTTTTCGAGATAAAGTTTTCTTCAGTACAATGCTCATTTCGAGAAACAGCAGCAGCAGTTTTAAATCTGTCCTTTTTAACCAACTTTATTATAGCACGATCTTCTCTCTTGGTTGTTTTTCTTGGCCTACCTGTAGACTTTCTTGCTTCACACGAACCACAATCATTGTAGACCTTAAGAATACCGTGAACAACACTTTTTGACTTGTAAACAATCTTTGCAGTAGACCCTATACTTAAATTATCCTTCTTTCGAAGCTTAATAATCTGCTAACAAATTGGTAACAGGGTAAGTGGCATTATATTAACAAAGTACACTGCAGATGTTCTTACTAATGTTTAGTAAACGAACCGTCACATAAAAAATTTAAAAAAAACTAGAGTTTGCTGGTTAATATACTAAAACACGGAGTAAAAGCAATCATTTTGGCCGCCATGGGTTTTGCAGTAAATCACTAAATCATCCATAACTTTTGTATTATCCCCTCAAATTACACCAAAATCTCAGACAACAACAAATAATATCGTATTTATTGTCTGTGAAAATTATAGAATATAAAACAACTTTGATAAAAACTTATACCTACTTTTCTGATGAAAACAATGCCGTTCTGAACATTTTGGCCACAAATGTACATGTTTAAAAATAAATTCTTTAACCTTATATAACCAATAGTTTAAGAATATGATTTTTTATTCTATAAGATTTTATGGAACTTAGTGGAATTAGTAATTTTTTTTTAATACTATATTAGGAATATATAATAGGATATTTAAAAGAATGTTAAATGATACTTTTGCGTTTAATTCATTACTTTTATTTTGTGATTATTTTTCTACCTGTTTGATGGCATAAATATTTACTCTCATCTGGTAATATTTTTTTTTTATTCTGATTTTAAAATTTATTAAGCTAAAGGAAGTGCTACAAAAATAAATTGATCAAAATTTATTGAATTTATACTGTTAATTGATTGAAGTCACAGAATTATTGAATTATTTCCTTTTTGAACTTCTGTACAAAAGAAAGACTAACAGTCGCAAAAATGAAAAGAACATCTTAAGAAAAATGTTTACACTTGAAAATAGCATTAAACTTTGCATTTTTCAATTCTTCAACCATGTTTTTATTTAATAAAAAATATCTTCAGCGACTGAATGAATTTCAATTTTAAATAAAAATTGAATGTAGATATTTTTTTTTTTTTTCTCCTGCTGATCAAATTATACAAGCACCACTTCTCAACACAAATTTTTTCTTTTAGTTTTATTGAATGATTTTTGGTAATGTTTGGGACAAATTTTCAATCTGTACACGGTCATTTGATATTGCATAATTACTTTTATGGAAATAACATCTGCTGATATCTTTATTTATATTATGAAAAAAAGTTTTGTAAATTCTCCTTTCTTGCCAAAAAATTTATAAGTACTCAAAATTTATAGAAATGACTGACTCTACCCTAAATATTTCCACAAAGTTTTCTAAAATAATGATCTATTCAACATAAAATTAATTGATAAGTGATGAAAAATTGTCAAAATATTTTTAATTTATCAAAATATCTCATCTTAAAAATCTCAAGTTTCAACTTGACAACTTCAAACTCTATTGCAATTTTTGTCTAAAAAGGTGAATAATAATTTTTGTAATTATTTTTCTTATTGAAATCAGCACAGGCAACTTGTCCTGGGGATGTTCTTAAAGATAATAAAGATGTTAGTGTTGCAAAGAACATTTGTGAAATTGTAAATGAAAATACAAACAGAGAAAGCACGCCAAAAGAGGAGGAGACAAAAAATAACACAAACAATCTGAAGGTAAGTCCACAGTTTTTACTTTTGTCTACAGTAGTAGATTATTAATGAAATTAGAAGAGAAGAGTAATGTCTTTTTATAGTTAAATAAACTTTTGGGACAAGTAGGACAACAATTAACAACCTAGAAAGGAATTGGCAAACTGAGTTCAATTTCTGGCTGAGTTAATTTGTGTTCACTTTTTGGAAAAGCCTGGATCTGTTCTCATAGATCAGGCCAGGAATTTGCTGATGGTAAATATTTCATTCTTTCATGTGTTGAGGAGAGATGGCACAAATCAAGTAACTTCCATTGACTTGAGAAATGCAATGAAGAATCCGGAATAAAAAAGAAAAAAATGTAAGGCATGGCATCATTTGATTTAAGTTTAAAACTCTGAAATTTCTGAAAAGTGAATAGGAATTTATGAAAAAACAAAGCTAAAATGCATCAGATGTCTAACTAATATTTGGAAACATAAAAATGTATTCTCATGATTTTTATATTTGATAAATGTAAGAAATAGCCAAAAATAAAGTCTGTTTGAACACAAATTTAAGAACAAATAAACATACACAGGTATTGAATAAAAAATATATTGTACTTTACAACTAAGAGATTTAATAAACTTGTCGCATGTCTTTTAAGATAGAGCTGTTTTGCACAACTCTATTTAGTAAAGTAGCAAGTAGGTGAGCCAAGTATTTCTTAGAATGGCTTCCCTGATAAATCACCAAGCAGATGGTGATCAGAAATCACTAATTTTCTTTTAGAAACTTATCTTTTGGTAACCAAAATCTATAGATTTCAAAAAAATCTATCTGTAGGCATTATTGTTATCCATTATAATTTGGCACAAATAATGAGCACTCAGTGTGAATTGAACTGGTCAACCAGACTTGCTTGCCAATTGTAAACTAACTCTGAGGTGCCCAGCTCTAATTATTATGGGCATTATAATTTTATCTTTCTTACCTATCATAGAACTTCAAAGGGAGATTTTTTTCTGTAGTTTTGATAATCTGTTTACTAGAAAATATTGTGCAATATTTGTGTTCAGTTATAAATTTTCCTTATTAATGGATAGTCTTATTTCCAATTTGGTTCAAATACCTAATGTTTTTGTAAGGAATAAAACTATTTCTTTGAAAATAGCAGATGTCACGAAAATTATTATTTTTAAATACAAATTGTTGGAATATATTAACTCATGAATGTGATAAAAATAGTTCAGTAAAGAAGTTGTAGGACTGTACTAAGGATATTCTACATTGTTGATGAGGCCAAAACTGTTCTAATCTTGTTAAAATTTTAATGTATTAGAAATGACTTCTTATTTATTAAGACTTCATTTTTAATGCGTTGCAATTAAATTTCTTCTTTTCTAATTTCATATCAATCCCTTTTTGTATATCATGTTTGAATTTTTGAGCTAATGATTGAACACAAAAGATTGTTGAAAAAAATTCCTGCTAGAGTGCATTTTTCTTCTGTTCTTGATTGAACTACAGCAGTTTAACTTTGCAAGTTGAGGAACATCTCATAGTGCCAATTAGAAATTTTTTTTATCTATATGGGCTGCTTTAGAGTTTGAAAAAACTGGACACACTTCATATGACTTTAAGCAAGTGCTTCCCAAAATTTTTTTTCTCTAGGCTGCAGTTTTTAAATTAAAATTTGCTCATGCCTCACCAAATTTTATGTGATAAACAGTACATTTAAAAATAGAAAAAAACAGAGAGATAGTTAAAGGGAGATAACTGCACATTGGAAGTCAATACATTATCATTGATAACTTTCTCCTCCAATTTGCAGACTCTTGTTACTATATTTTTAATACTTGATATAATGCAAAATATCACAATGTTAAAATCAGTCAATAATTATAACTATTTATACTAGGACTCATGCATGCAATTACAAGTAATCCATAATAATATTTTAAATTTTGAAATCTTATTTATTTGATTGTCTTTCAGTCATTCCACCTTACCTGCTATCCTCTTCTGCCATATCTATGAGGCACACTGTACTGTTTGGGAACCACTGCTTTAAGTTCCATTCAAAAATGATTTCTTGTTAGATTCTGAAAGATATTCTCTTTTGATAATGAATATCTCAAAGATTATCTTGTATCAAATTAACCATAAGTATATGAAGTATATATGACTGACTGTCCTTTTCTAGGAATACTGTCTATGCATTTATGATACCATAATTGTGTATAGCTGTTGTAAATAGTTTTCAATTTTGTAGGATGGCAGTGGGGGCCAAGTGGTTAATGCTGTGGCCAAGCATTATAATGAATTGGAGGAGTTCGGCCTGGCATCACGTAGCAGAAGTCGTATTTTCTACCTCAGAAATTTTAATAATTGGATTAAGAGTATTTTAATTGGTAACAGTTTTTCTTTTTCTTTCATTTATACTCAAATATGTTATTTTTAAATGAGTTTTGTAATGATGTAATTTTTTTTTAATTTATACAAATAAATAATTTAATATTGTAATTAAACAGTGCCATGGTATTACCTTGTGTATATATGTATGTACATAAAGGTAAGTATTTAATTTTGGTTTGAAATTTTCCATGCAAAATGTTTGATTGTTATTTACAACTGAGTTAAGTGGATTAACAAAGAAAGATTATGTTGAAAAAATTTGTTGTAATCTCTTTCTCATTATTTTTAACTATAAATACATTTTCATGATGGAAATAGACATTTTAGACATTATCTTAAATCGCTGAAAAGGGTCATACCATGATGAAAAAATGCCCCAAACGTAATAAAAAAACAAATTTTTATCATCAAAATATGTTATTAAGAGGAAAGACCAAAGTATTTAAAAAAAAAAATTTTTACTACTTTCTAACATGCTTAAAATTTGTGTTAAAAATCTTTTTTTGTGTGTGTTGACGGGTGTAACAGAGCTGGTAATGGACATTTTATCACTGCCATTTCCACTAAAATAACACTTTAATTTTGAAATTCTTGCAAAAATCAAATGATTGCCACATTTTAATGAAACTTTCAGGACTTATTTATAAATGAATGAATTTATTTTTGAAATTATTATTTTTAGAAAATCTTGGTAAAAATATTTTTTCTTACATCTGTAAATTTCCCCCACCCCAGCCTTTTACTTAATTTCATAAAAATTTCTAGTATTTTAGAATCATCAACAAAATGTTTTTTGTAAGTTAAAAGTGGGACTCCTTAAGGAATGTAAATCATCAATTTTTTTTTTTTTTTTTCAAACTATTACCAAGTTTCCTATAATCAAAAAAAGTTTCCTATAATTCAAAATCGTAAAATAAAAACTGCAATAAAACTATTTAATTATTTAATTAGATAAGATTTTCATTGCTTTTATAAATAATTTATATTAAGAACATTATAGTCTGAAGAAAAAAAATTTTTTTATGAATAATGAATTTTTATAAGAATTCTTTGCATTTTTCTTTTTTTAATTATAAAGTTTCAAAAATGTTTTTGAAATTCTTCCAAGCATTGTCAAAGTTAGGTTATTAAGTTATTAAATGAAGACTATATTTACTAAGTGAAAATTGAAAAACTTAATACAAATCATCTGACCAAAAATTGTTACAGTAATTAAAAATATTTTTTTTTTAAGTATGCTGTTTCATATGCAACATGATCGTTAAAAGGTCAGGTTTTTCAAGGGTTGTCACCCTTATGCTCATAAACCTTTTAATACAGTTTTACTTAGTTAAGAAAAATAATTTGTTTTTATTTAGGTTTTAAATTTTTTTAAGTTTCTTTTATCCTTTTTGTGAGTTATATTTTGAAAAAGAATCGTTTGAAAGGTAACCCTTTATTTTAAACGTAATGTTTAGTTTAATTATTTTTATACTTTATTTCATTTATATTTCAATTTTTTTTCATTTTATTTATTTTTAATTGTGGTAGGTAACTCCACTAATTCTTGATACCCATGTTTTAAAAATGAATTTAAAAAACAAAAATCCAAAAGTTTTCTTGAAGCTTTCATTTTAGCTTGAATTGAAAGCTAAATGATTAAAAAGTAAATTTTTACTATTTCCAGTAAGCGAAATACTCAGGTGTATTTTCGTACAGAAATTATATACTGATTAGAATGTTTTTTTTTTTTTTTTTTTTTTGTATATTTTTTTTTTTTTTGTAAATAAAAGTTAATTCTCATTTTTAAAATTTTTGTTAAATACAATATATTTTTCTGAAACATTATTTGAGGAAAATTAGCAAATTTAAAGTTAAATTGTTCTGATTTGAAACAAAAAATTTTTGTGTCAGTGAACACATTTAAAATTTTTTAAATGTGTTCACTGACACACAAAAAAATTAAAACCAAAATTTCAAATGTAGTAGAGAGGATAAAAAGATAACTCAATAATTTATGAAGTGTTAAGAAATTTTTATAGTATTCTGAATTTTCTTGTATTTTCAGAAAGCATCATCAATCTTAAGGTTAAGTACAAAAAAAAAATTCAATAAAATATTAGATAATTTTTAAATATTACCTGTTAGTTAAAAAACAAAAACAAATTGTTTTTACTTAGAGTTTGTAAATTTATGTGAATTCTGGTCCACCATACTTGTCAACACCTTTGGCCATCAATATATCAATGGAGACATGAGAATAACAAGACTCTGTGGTCAAGAAATGCTTGTATAGAAAATTTTATGCTATAAATAAGTAATATTTGTTTCAGAACAGTTTAATTTAACATTAAATTTGCTAGTTTTTCAGAAATATTTTATTTTTGCAAGATTTTTAAATCTGAGAATTAAGTTTTGTTTACAATCTATCAAATAAAAATGGCTGTTTTGTCTAAAAAAAAATAAATGATTGACTAAAAATCATTCTAATTTCTATTTGAAATACACCAATTTTGCTTTCATTGAATTAGAAAATTTAATTCTTTAGTTTTTAACTAAGGTGAAAAAGAAAGCTTCAAGAAAGATTTTTTTATTTATGAAAATACATTTAAACCTTAGGTATTTTTGGAGGTGCCTATTTTTATTTTTATTTGAAAATAAACATCTACATTTAGATTAATGTTACTGTGAAATATTTTAAATACCTTTTTAACCCTTTGTAAATTAAATGATTACCCTTAAGTACTTTTCTTTTTTATATTTTCTTTGTTATTTATTTGTATTATTAGTTGTGTTATTTTGTAATTAACGGAAGTTACATATATATAACTTTATTTGTGAAAGAAAACTTATAAAAACACATTTTGTAACTTCTTTTTAAATTTTTATTTTTCGTGAATTTTGTGATGTCAATGAACACTTGTCACTTTTGCAATGCTCGTTGTAGTAAAGACTAATTGCAGATACAACTAGAGTATGCCGTTGAACTATTCTGGTGTCAGACACCTTCGAATAGTACTTGCTCGATAATACTTGCTTGAAAAGTAACCACCGTATAGTGATGTGAATAGAGAAATAGTATAGTGAATAGAGTAGAGAAATAGTATAGTGAATAGAGTAGAGAATAGCGAACTGTATAGTAACAGGGGATAAAACAGAAATGGTGGCCCTAATAGTAATAGAGAATAGACTAGAAATGGTGATCAATTAGACATCACGCAACCTCCTACTTATGCGTTTCCTTTATGGTCACGTGGTCAACTTAATTCAATAATGGGATCGCCTGTGTTTGCTCACTGGCGATCTATTCAAGTATCGGCAGCAATACTTTATTCCTATATAACACCTCCCCTTTGAGATGACTTCCTCTGGAGTCTGTATTTCTTCAACTTTGGTTTAATATTCAAATGCTCCGTTTTTTTGGTTTTTTTTCTTCCTATACCTCCTTGGTTCACTAATTTCTGGTGGCATGGGTATGTCAAACATGTCCTACAATATTTCCATCAGTACCTCTTTTCATGGACTTACTAAATCAGTGAATTTCCTCTATGGTCACATGGTCTATTTAATTCAATAATGAGATCACCTGTGTTTGCTCACTGTCAACCTATGTTCAAACTCAATTTATTCTTGTACAACAATATTAGAAATGCTTGAAAATGAATGTCCCAAATTTGATTGGATTCAAAAGTTATTGTTTGCTAATAATGATCTATTAGATTTTTTGTTTTGAATGTGTATTTAAGAAAACAAGAAAAAATAATTTTGTAAACATTTTGGATGCCCCAGTCTTTTCACCACTCTTTTATATATATATATATATATATATATATATATTGTTATGATGCTTTAAAAGTATGATTTCAGATCATAGTACGTGAGATATCTTATTGGAAGGCAAGTTCTTGTGGCTTGTAGAGCATTAAATTTATTTAGAAATTATGAGAACTTTTCTTTCAACCAGATATTTCTTTTTATTCCTCTTACACTATACCAAGGAATATTTTACAATTAGATAGTTGATTAGGATATCATATTGTCTTTATTGACTGATTTTTATTTTCTTTAATATCTTTTTTTTTTTTTTTTTTTTTAGGAAATAGCCTGAATCCATGTTATCAATGCTTTTGATTTTTCTTTCTTGTGGTTTTTCATATTGTTTTAGTGGCCCTGAAATGTATATAGAAAGGCAATGTATTGCTATTATTTTCATTTTCATACTATATAAACTCAGAACTTGATAGAATTTTTTGGCATCACAAGGAAGATAAACTTTTGCTTTTATGCTTAGTTAGTGAATGCTTTTTTATTTTTTTATGATTAAAATACACTTTTCATTTCTGCTATTTAATTTAGTTAAGATGTGAAGTTGAAAAGGTCAAAAAAGAGGCTGGGGATTGTTTAGATGGGTATTCTCCTAATTGTATTTGTAAATAATATATTTGAGAATCTGGTAGAGATAGAATATTATTTTTGTTAAGGATATACATGTATATTATTCCAGAGTTTATATTCCCATCGGACATACTAATATATAGAGCAGTTCTCTTTAAATATGCCCAGTATGTGCACTTAAACTTGAATTAGAGGGACTCATGCAATATATGCAAGGCAAAGCAACAGTAATATGGCAAGAAGTTCACAAACTAAGAATTTGGTTTGACACACAAAAGCAAGTTTGGACAAGTGAATGTAGCATTCTGACTTTAAGACAAGACATATCTGGACTGAGTCAGGTGAAACCGAGAACTGGCCTATTTTATTAGCTAGGAAAAAATCCTAGCATGCATTTGTGTTTTTTACCTATAAATTGGAGAGGGGCAAGTGTTTTTTTAGTTATTCCTACTGTGATTGGAATAAGGAAGGAAGGAAATTGTTGAAAAAAATATTTGTTGTGTAAAATAAATGCTTTTTCCCTCCCATCACTAGGCTATGGACATATATATATTCCAAAAGTATTGGGATAGCTGTATGTAAAGGTAATGGAAGTGGTACCACTATATTCTAACAGCATGGTAATACCAAAACTTACATCTGTTGTTCTTTACCATTTAGTGAGTTAAAGTGAACACTGGTTAATCTGTTTATGGCAAGGCAACATTCATGTCACCTTGCTTTAAATAGTAGGTTAAATGGAGCATAATGATAGGTGCCAAGTAAATGAAATTTTCAATTTCTAAAATTGTAGAAATAGTTGAGGTCCCTTGATATATGGAAATTCTTGAGGGAAGGTATTATTGCCTACTGTGGACAGTGCAAGATGACCAGAGGTGACTGGTTATCAAACTGCCTGTTAACATCATGACTATACACAGAGCCTTGCTTTGGTTTGTGATGTTAATTGGACACTGGAGGACTGGCAACATGTGCCATGGTCTGATAGAGCCAGTTATTTCAGGTTGATGGTATTTTGGGTGTGGTGTCAACTGTAGTTGTCCAGCAGGTAACATGTAGGCTGTTGATAGTTTCATACTAGTGTTGAGTATGTTTGTGTGGTATTGACTAGTGACTACTTTTGTGATCTTTTGTATCCATTTACGAATTCCTTACACCTCTACAATGATGAATTATTCCCGCAGACTGATGTACAATGTTATCAAGTACAAGATACCCAGAGTTTGTTTGAGGTGTATTCTGGAGACTTCCAATAAATGGTGTTGTCACCATATTTGCATTACATGTGCCTATCCAAGCACTTTGGACATGCTTGAGAAGTTTATTCACATGCAAGATCCTACATCTATGAATATCAGGGAACTGTCTACAGCTATCAAGATGGCATGGCTCAAAATTATTCTAGAGATTTGACCATTTGTAGAATCAATGACAAATTAGTTACTGCACTTTTGCCAAGTTAAGGAGATTGACTCTGATACTAGGCACCATTTCAATGACTTTTGTCACGTAAGTGTAAGTATAGAAACAAATGATATATTATCTACAGTCAAATTATTCTCAACAAAAGCTCACATGTTAAAATGCTTTTAAAAAAAAACACTTGTCATTAACATTTTTTGTTTTATACAATGTCATAAAAATAATGAAATTATATAATTTGTTATCCTAGACAATATGCACTCAGCAAGATCTTAGAGTAATATTTTGTGCTATATTTATTGCAGTGTTACTTTTTTTTTTTTTTTTTTTTTTTTTTGTTTAATTAGCTTAAAACACATGGAAATATGTCTGGACATCTACGGCCAACTGTAAATCAAATATGCTATTTTAAGTTCTAAGTGTTACAGATAACTGTTATAAATAACTTTTTCTCGTCTCCTTTTTAACCCTTTGAGCCCTGTGTGCCTGAACAATTTTAACCCTTTTGAATGAAAATTTGCAAATAATTGATATGTAATGTTTCTTGGTAGATATAAAAATAGTTACAAGTGTTTACCCACTATTCAACTAGTAGTTTAGCATTAAGTCATTTTTCTCTGCCACCGGTAAAGCGGTGGTTAGGGCTCAAAGTGTTAAATCTTTGGCTAGAATTAAATTTATTAAATGAGTCAATGAGAGAAACTTCATCTGTCTCTTATATTTAAATACTGAACATTTTTCACTTTTTGAAGAAAGATCTCAACTTTTTCATTTTAATATTGTTTCATTTCAGGAAATATTTTGCAGAAGATTCGCAATGAAAATGGGGGTGATCACAATATTACTGTTCTTGACATGTGTTCGGGTAAAGGAGGCGACATTCTTAAGTGGAGAAAAGGGCAGATTAGTAAACTAGTGTGTGTTGGTAAGTCAGGTCTTTAATTATTGTTACTAGTTTCTCATTCTTTTCTTTTTTTTGAAGGAGACCAAAAGATCTTGTATGTTATCCTGCGATTGAAGACTACAAGGATATGTTATTGTGGGTGACATGAATGCTTCCCCTTACATTGTATCTGATGTTTTTAATTTTCAATGCATGATTTTTTTTTTTTTTATATGCCAAGAAAATAATATCTTGTGTTTTTTTTCGGTTCTCGCCATTATGATTTTTTTTTTTTTCTATCTGAATCTCTAGGGTGAGGAGTTATCATTATTTAAATTTAAGTCGATCTTCTCATCTTTATCCTTTTGGATTAATGTCTTCCAATCCACATAATTTTCTAGTAATTTCAAACTGAGTCATTTATTTAAAATCTAATGAAGGTAAGGTGTTCTCATTGTCTTGTTCTTTTTAGTATTGCTCAGTTATTGCTTGCCCTGTTTCCACTGAGCCTGAACTACCTATCCCAAGGATTGAGCTCACAATGATGATATAGTGAGTTAAATCCTTCGGTAGCATAAACTTAGTGGAAACAGGGTTAGCAATAACTGAAGAATACTAATGAAAAAAAATGATGTGATATCCCTAGACATGAACAATGGAATAAGAATAGTCTACTCTCCCCCACTTTAGATTCAATATATTTAGAAATTCTCAGAAAGTAAGCTTGACAAACCCCAACAGGCACAGTGACCAAAAGGTGATAAAAACAAAGATGAGGACAATAGTTAGAATGTTAATAATCTACCAAATAAAGTAAAAAATATAAAAGTGAATATTACTAACAATGTTTTTTTTTTTTTTTTTTTTTTTTTAAATTATGTGCAAAATTGAACAATCATTTTTTTGGATTGTATCATTAGAAAGGTAATAAAAAAAGTGCTCAGGTTACTGTGCTTTATTTTTTACTCTGCAGACATTGCTGAAACATCAGTAGAGCAAAGTAAAATGCGTTATAAGGAAATGCAAGACAGAAACCAAAGCAGCCGACAGAGACAGCCCATCTTTAAGGCTGAATTTTTAACTGCTGATGTTACAAAGGTGAGTCATCCTTTACAACTGTACAGACCCCAGTTGGATCAATATCTTATGAAAATAGGCAAAATTTTACTGAGACTGACAATATACTACTTTGTCTTAATCACATTTAACAAAAATTCATTTTTTTTTTTTTTTTTTTTTGTCATTTTACCATTTAAATATTTATTCATTAATGTTGTATCAGTTTAGATATATACTTAAGTCATTTTTTTCTTAATTTCTTTTAGATGAAATTGAAACTTTTTTCTTTTTTTTTTTTTTTTTGCTTGAAATAAGGAAAAATTATTCACTCAGTTTTTCCAATTTATTTTGACAATTTATGGAATTTTTATAAATGACTAGCTCCAAATAATCTATTTTCCTTAGTTTACCTTATTTGAAATGATTTAATACTGTTTTTTTTCTATTATGTCCATACCTATAAATGACCAATGCATAGCAGCAAAGAAAGTGTGAATTATACAAGATAATTAAAAATTTATTATTACAATTATGAAAATTACTACTGCTGATTTAATAATTTCAAATAACATATTTTTGAAATTATCACTTATTTGATTGACATTTGCTATTATCTTTTCATCTGATTTTCATGGGATCATCATTTCTGCTTATTTTATTATACTTAGGAAAAGACATGATATCTGTTATAATTTATTGCTAATAAAAATAGTATGGGTATGATTCCTTACAAACTATCAACAACATTTACAGTTTACTAGTATAAAACAAATATAAAATAATGAATAAGTTTTATTTGTAATACAGGACAATATAGAAAATGCATGTGTAATAAAATGTCATCATGTCTTAATATTATTTTGATTTTTGAAGTCTTTTATTTAATGCCATAATGCAAAGTAAGTAGATCTACAAATAATTGTTTCACTTGGTCTGTCTACTATGTTGATTATATATATATAAGTGAATTGTAATTAGTTGACTAAGCAAATACTTCCGGAATGTTTTTCTGGAATAGTATTTTGATAAGATTTATTTGAACAAAATTAGAAAAGCAACAATTGTTTTTGCATGATGAAAATTGTTTTTCAACATATTTGTCTACTGCTAATATATGAAGAAAATGTTTTTATTTTGTTAAAGAGTGTAATTATAGCAACACTATGTAAAATAAAAAAAGAAAATAGTTTTTAGAAAATAACTTTCATTTAGAGTTTTTTAATTGTTTGTGTATTTCAGCAAAGACTGAAGGAAATGTATGCAGACCCTGATTTGCACTTTGACCTTGTCAGTTGCCAATTTGCATTCCATTATTCTTTTGAAAGTTACCCACAAGCAGATATGATGTTAAAAAATATATCAGAGTGTCTACAACCCGGTGGTTACTTTGTAGGAACAACTCCAAATTCTTATGAACTGATGTAAGTACTTTGTACTAAAACTAGACAATTTCTTTATTCAGCATTCAGTTACTTTGTAGTTTCTTGATTTTTTTTTTTTTTTTTTTTTCTATACACTTGTGTGTGAAATGTTCTGGTGGTGTTGCCGAGATAAAATGTTATGAAGAATATCTACACTCCTAAGCAAACCAAAACTTAACCACCTGCTTAATCAGGTGTCAATCTTTTATATGATCAGACATGAACTTCTAAACATTGAAAGGTTTCTTCTGGGATCTGGTTCCAGGATGTTATGACATTTTTAACTGCTGCAAGTTATGTGGTGGATATTCTGCAGAATTACCTGTTCAACACATTTCATAACTGCTCAATGGGATTGAGATCTGAGAAGTTTGGTAGCCAGAAGAGCACAATGAAATCTTATATTTCTGAAACCATTCCTGTACAATTTGACAGGGTACATTGTCCGTTTGAAAGATGCTACTGCTGCCATGATGGTGTGTACTTGGTTTTCAATGATATTGAAGACCCAGTGACCTTCCATTAATACAAGGTTCAATTTTGTTGCTTGAGTAACAATTAAAGATAATTTTGACAAAGGACATTGGTTAACATGAGTACTCTGATTGGTCTGTGGCTAAGTAGTGTCATATATTGCAAGAATTGATATATAGCATGTTGTGACACATTTTTTTCTTAACCATGAGTAAAGTTATCTTTAATTTGTGCCACAGCAGGCCTTCAGTTGGCTTGTATTTATTGGGAAAGATTCTCTTCTCACAACAGTTGACACTCCAATGCTTTGTTAGTAGTTAAGTTTTTTTTTTTTTTTTTTTTTTTGGACCATTGCCAGTAGCTACTCCTCACCACAAATGAACAGGGCATACCCTGCCTAATTGTACTATTTTGGGAATTTTCTGGTCATAACACTGCAAGATTTTTCAAATTTACTTAAACTTTCTTTTTTGCTCAATACTTAGCAATTTAGCTGCTGGCTTACCTGCTTAAAAATACCAAAACGAATGTCCTGGAAAGAGCCAACAGTCAAAGCATCAAATTGCTGATAATTTAACACCGTCTTTGATGGTCAGAACATGTAGCAAGAATGGAAGGACCAAGGTTTTCAGATAAAGTCTTATTTAGTGAGCGCTGACTTCAAGGAAAAGACCAATGAGGTTGCCCTCTTCAAAGATACAAGGAAAAACTCAAAACAATGCTGAAAGTCATTCAATTTGAGCATAAATCATTTGAAATACAAGCACAGGACCGTACCAACAAACTTCAAAGCTACTAGAAGAGAAAAAGTCAAATGATGAGTGAAAGGTCCAACAAAATTGACCTTTGTCCTCCACCAACATTACTATGAAATTAATGCCATTGGCTCTTCCATGCATAAATTGGTCTACTTAGTCATCAATGCCATCATCATAAAGGGAGTGATCAGAAAAGAAAAAAATTAAATTCAAGGATATGATATAAAACTGGCGATGACCTGGTTAATATATCTGACCCTGACATGTGTATTTATGGGACAGTAGCTGTTATTCCTTCCAGCAGTTGGTCACAATATCTGTGTTCATCTGTGTGTGTGTATGTAGATAATTTGAAAATCATTACACTTCGAATTCCACCATAAAATTACTTGAGATATTTAAAAGAAAGGAGTAAATAAAAAAAAAGAAAGCATTCATTATTGTTATGTGAACATTTCATAAAAGATGCCATGTACCTACATTTTTAGTAATAGATTTTGTTTGTGGAAATCTTAAAATTTGAGCACTTTGTAATCATTTATGAAATCAATCCTTGGAATTGTCATATTTTTGCTAGAACATTTGGATAGATGATGACATTTTTTTTATGTAAGTTTCCTTCTTTTGCATTACATGAAAGTTTGTTGTGTAAACTTACCATACATTTAAAATTTGGTGATTTGAGTTATATGATAAAAGACGAACAAAAACCCATTTGTTGAATGATGCTAAGATAGTATGAATTTACTTTGTGTTGAAATAATCTTCCATAAGAAGCTAATCTTGAACAGCTTTGTTATTGTCTGTTGACTTGATATGTGTAGAGATTATCTGAATAAGCTTTACAGATTTCTAGTCATATAAAAACAAACACAGATTCTGCAACATTCGGAAGGATTATCTAGCTATAATAATATTTGATAATTAAATAAGCAAAAAAAAAAAAAGGAAAAACAATTTTAAAAAATCTTAAATTTTTAAAATATATTGAAAAGAAATTCTTTTATATTTTTCTTGTCAAAGTTTGTACTTTGGTAAGCATTTTTATATAATGCAATAATATTTGTTTCCCATTTTATTTTCTGTTTTCTTGCTTTAGTCATCGAATAAGGGCTGCAGAGGGAAATAGTTTTGGTAATGAAGTTTACAATGTGGAATTTGAAAGTAAAGACAAAGAAAACTTCCCATTATTTGGAGCCCAGTATTGGTTCCGTCTTGAAGGAGTTGTTGATTGTCCAGAATTCCTTGTCTATTTTCCAGCCTTAGAGAAGTGAGTTATTTTTCCTATTATTATTATTATTATTTCTTTTTAACTTGAAAGAAAAACTGTCATATTTAATGTTAATATAAAGAAAGTAACTAAGTTTTTAAAATAAAGGAAAAAGTTTTGCACATTGTTAGAAGTTATTTTACAAGTTCAAACTCCAGTTTCTATGTCTGTTATCAAGTGATGTAACTTTGACGTCTGTTATTTATTCTGGCAGATGAAGGATACATATATAAAGGGCTTCTATATTTTATAGAAGCCCTTTATATATTTTCTAAGATTTTAAGTTTTTGCTTATTATTTTGGTGTAATATAGAATTATTTTCAACTAATATCTGTTTAAATTGTGAATGTGGACATGAACATTCCTTTAAATGCTGTAAGAATGAACTATGCTCATCCAAGTGAAATGTAAGCCTTCTTGACAACATCGGCATTGTAAAACCAACATGCGTATTAACATTTATCAGAGATGCAATCTTTAATAGGACATCTAAATTGATATACAATGTTGGCTTTTTGTAAGATATACAGGGGTTGGACAAAATAATTGCAACACTTGTTAAATTCAAAGAAAATTTATTTAATATTGAGTTGGTCCTACTTTAGCCTCACATACAGCTTTAATACGCCTAGGAATGAAATCATACAGCTTCCTGACTTCATCCTGAGGAATTTTCAGCCATTCTTCCATTAACACCTACTCCAGTTCATTAAGACACAATGGTGGAGGATAGTGGCTCCTAACTTGTTGCTCCAAAATGCATCACAAATGTTCAATAATATTGATATCTGGAGATTGGGGAGGCCACTCCATGTGTTCTAGCTCACTTTCATGCTCTTCATACCAATTCTTAACTACTCGAGTGGTATGTATTGGAGCATTATCATCGTGGAAGATGCAGTCACCATCAGGGAATAAAGTCTGGGCCATTGGATGAACATGATCTCCCAGAATGTTCAGGTAATCTTTGCTGTTGATTCTACCATGCAGGGCAACTATTGGACTGAGACATTACCATGATGGCCCAAACTGTCACTGATTCACCTCCATGCTTCACTGTTGGAAGAAGGCAGTCAGGATTGTAAGCTTCTTTGGGTTGCCTCCACACATAAAACTCGCCCTGATGTTGGAAAAAGAGAAAAACTGGACTCATCTGAGAATATGACTTGCTTCCATTGGTCTGCAGACCAGGTATGTGATCTCTGCACCACATCAAACTCTTCTGAATGTTGCGAGTGGAGAGAAGAGGTTTTCTTACGGTGACTCTTCCATGATATCCAGCCTTATAGAGCTCATGACGAACAGTTTTAGTAGAAACTGGACTATTCAGATGATTATTCAACTCAGCAGTCACTTTGGCCGCAGTAGTCTGATGATTTTTTGCCACATTGTGTTTCAATGAACGTTGGTCCCTGTCAGTAACTTTGCAAGTCTGGCCCGAATTGCTATGGTTGCTAGAGGTTTTGTCCTGTTTCTCGAATTGCATCATAGTTCTTGATATGGTTGCTCTTGAAAAACCAAATAGTTCAGCAACCTTAGTGACTGAGGCACCAGCCATGCAAGCTCCAACAATTTACCCTTTCTCAAACTCTGAGAGGTCACGCATTTAGCTTAAATTTTACTAAATTCTAAAAAAAATAAAGACAAAGACAGTAAATTAGATAAATAAATGTATTTACAATAGATATCACCTGCAATTATGAAGTTTTAGTTAAAGTTCTTAATATAATAGGTCTTTGAAATATAGGAGTGGAATTTGCACCTGTTCCAATTATTTTGTCCAACCCATATATATATATATATATATATATATAACCAAAAGTGTATCTTTACTATTTTATCAAGTGATGATTCTTGTAAACAGGTGAAATATATATATATATATATATATATATGTGCACACAATCTACAATATGAACATATCTCTATATTCTTTCTTTGTACAGAATGGCAGAAAAGTATGGACTAAAACTTATATCTAAGAAACCATTTGCAGAATTTTTTAATGAAAATGTCAATGTAGCTGGAGAGAACCGAGGCTTGCTTGGACGTATGCAAGCTCTGGAAGTGAGTATCTGTAGATAATCTTTTAACTGTCAATAAATTTTACAAACATTTCACTGTAGAAAGTTCGAAGAACAGTTTATCTTGAAATATAAATCTTTGATTATGAAATTGGTATTTCTATAGTGCATCTTCAAGAGGCACTATCTTTATATATGTCATGCTACTAAAAATTCCTGAACAAAAATAATATTTTGTTAGCATTAATTTTAAGGAGCAAAATATTTGCAATCAAATTTATTTTTTGGTATATTGTGAAATTGGCTTGTGGATTTTAAATTATATGACATTAATGGTGTATTTGTTTTCTTTTAATATGTAAGTTTTCAAATTTATCCTGAATTCATTGCAGCCATATCCTGTTGAAGATGGAGTAAATGCAATGAGTAGTAATCAGGATGATTATGCCTTTGCAAAAGAAGCACTTGATAAAGCGATAGCAAGTGGAAATTATGATTTCCGACGTCCACTTAAAGTGGTAAGTCATTTTGGGGAGATTTTTTTTCATAAAAGCCAAATTAATTTACCACTTAAATATAACAAATTTTATTTATACTTTAATTAGGTTTCAAAATTAATTAGCACGTTATTCTTTTTTAAAACCTATAAGAAAAAATATCAGATTTCATTACTTTCGTTTGAACATTTTTGAATTATACTTGTAGTAGGTATCCATTTATCAGGTGAGATAATAGTAGTTCCTTTTTTTGTTAAACATTCAGTCCTTTTGTGAGTAGCATTTGTAGTGGCTTAACAGACCAATCTTTGCATGGTACTCTCTTCTGCGGATGTGACAGATGAAGGTCAGAGATTGCTCTCTCTGCTTCCTTTGTTTTGTTTTATCTCCAACTGTTGGTTTCACCTTTTCCTGTTATATTAGTAACTTAATTACTTAGTACCATAATGTTTTTGACAAATGAAAATGATCTTGTAGAAGTTCTATTATTAGAAGTAAATTTAAAATATACTGAGACATTAAATTTCTCGGTCTCAGTTCAAATCTTTATCAAAGAACTGATAAGACCAGAACATTAATTGTTCTTGACTTTCAAAACACAAATTGTGAGCGAGTTTCATCATGTGCATAATTTAGTGTTTGATTTTTCAGGCAACAATGATTTAATTTTGCTAATATTAAGAAATGGAACAATTGCTTCAACTGTAAATAATATATGATAAATAACATGGATAAAAAGATATTTATGAACAAAATAATGTCGGTAGAAATACAAGTTCAAATTTATTCATTATTATATACCTTTCTATTCTAATTCCATAATATTTGTTTACATACAACATTTTGGCCACTGTACTCTATGGTTTTCTTCAGATGTCTGTTATAACCAATAACCTTGGAATTGTTGAACTAAACCATTATTCTTCATTCTACAGGAGGCAAATTGTTTTTGTTAGTGTTTTCATGCTTAGAGTGTATGTCAGTGAATTCACTCTAATCTATTTACCTTTGTTTTGCTTGTGTGTTTCTTCCATTTGAACCAGACTATGACTTTTCTGTGCTACTTAATTCAGGAATTGAACTGCCAAGGAATCAGATGTGTTTTAACCAATATTTTCTTGGACAATCCACTGGTATAATTTTGCAAACTTAAAGATTCTATCACCTGAGTACAAACTATATTTGTATTCAGGTGATAGAATTTTTCAGTGTCCTTCCTTTACTAATCATAGATTCTTAGATTGTGTTCATCTCTATGATAGGACTGCTGAGAATAATAGGACATCAATAAGAAACAAAGGATATTCAAAAGTTCCACTACATAAGTCCCTCAAATTATATCAGTTTATTTTCTTTAACTGATACAAATTATCTCCCAAACAGAAAGTGAAAGGAGAACAATCTCCCCTTATGAATTAAATAAAGTGTTCATTTTTAAAATTCCAATAATGTTACTGAATGACACACACTTGAAGAAGGTCAGAGGCTACAACAGCAGAAATATTGAGAGTATAACAACCAAAATGAGTATACTAGTCAGACTAGAAAAGTATATAATAATCGTAATAATTACATATATTAAAAAGATTGACATAAATTATTAAATTTCTTCAAATATATATTTTTTTCTCATTTAACCATTTCCTCTTTCAGGGCACTCTGTCAAAGGCTGAGTGGGAAGCTATTAGTAAGTTATAAAAACATTTTTTGTCTTAATTATTAAATATTTGAATTTTATAAAATTTGTTTATTTATTGTAGACATGTAAATTCTTGCAGTTACAATTTCTCCTTGCTTTCTATGCAAGTGGCTTTTATTTATTTAGTAATATGACTAATGAGGATGTATTGGTACTTTTCTGAAATCTAGAATCTGTTATAAATAAATAAAAAACATTGGTAAACTGTATGTATTATTAATGTCCTTTTGTAAGTAATGTATAGTCATTCTTCAATTTTAATGCTTGAAAGTATAAAAAATCAATTTGCAGTAACATTATTTCTTATGTCATTTTTTTAATGTTTTCTATAACTTAAAAGAAAAACAAATGATTACATTTTAAACATATGAAGGTCTTCTGTAAAGATTTCAACACTTGTTAATTATTTCCTCCTTTTTTTTTTTTTTTTTTGTTTTGCAGCTCTTTATTTAGTGTTTGTATTCCAGAAAGTGAAAGTTGATAAGAAATTGGATTCCTATGACAAATCACATGTAAGTTCTCCTACAAGAACTTCTAAAAGAAAATATGATGATGATGATGATGACCTTGATGACACCAAGTTGAGCTCGCCCAAAAAATTTGAGATAAACTGAGGTGTATAAAAATACACGTTAAAAAAATAAAAAAAAAGGATAAAATCCTTAATTTCAACTAAATATTTCTTTAAATATACGAGAACATCTTTGTACAGTTTTCATTTATTTATTTATTCATCTATGCAAACACATGGAATTTTGTTTTCATTCAAATTTGATTTTATGACTGAAAAAGCAATCTGGAATGACATTTTTGTCTTGGCTAGCTGATAAACAAATACATATTAAAAATATTTGTTGTCAAAACTGGTTTGAAAATATTTTATATGAGAAAAATCTTGTATTTGCAAAGAACCAATTGACTAGACTTACAAAAATTTTGTTACTTTCAGCTAAAAGTCATAATCAGTATCTGTCTATATTTCTGAGATGAGGTATTATGTACATTATTTACGTTATTTGAACTATTGTCCTCATCTTGTCACCATATTTATTACAAGGCCACATGTCACAGTGGATAAAGGTGTTAGTTAGATCCAGTGACAGGACCCAAAGAGTGTGAGTTCAATACCCGGTTAAGGGGAAATTAACAGGAGATAACTGACATCCATTAAACATGGCACGTGGAACTAGAACAGTCTACCCCAGTGAGTGAAATAAAGGGTTCAGTTCGACATTCCAACCACCTGAAGAAGGCCAGAGTGTACAACGGCTGAAACGTTGTAATAAACATGGCAACAAAGATGAGGACAATAGTCCGAATAATGTAAATACAGTCATAATCAATTTTACTCTTTCAATATAAAGTATATATTTAAGCAATCATTGAATACTGAACATATTTTAAGGATTTTCTCTGAAGCCATATTCAACACCCATCTCTATTCTTCTATATATGTCACTATTATATGGCTGTAGGTTAAAAAAAAATTTCAATTATTTCTTTCACTTTTCAATTACATTTATTTTTACCATTATATAAGCTGGAACCTATTTCAAGATGTGGTTTTTACCCAATATTTTATAGTTTCATCATGTAATCTCTTGAAACCAAAAGAGGTAGATGGGTTCATACTCCTTCCCAGTCTTTTAATATGGAGCAGAGGTTTATCCCTTATCTCCTGTTCCTTCTCCTAAAGTATTTTTAATTCTCTTTCACTTCTAGTAGCCCCCCTCCCCCCTTGCATCTTACTAGTAATATCAAGGGAATTGATAAAAACAACAAAACTTTATCTATTTCTAGATGAATGTGAGTCTCTGTTTTTAGTCATTTCCAGTTTGGGTATGGAAATGGAAAACAGACAAATATTTGGCAGGTTGACTATGAAATTTTCCATTGCTTATTCTACACCTGTGAATGCTGTAATGATTTCAAGATCATATTGATTAATTCTTTCTTCAATAAATTCCATACAATTCAAGAACTTCTTAATTGCTATTATTAATTTGTTTATAAAAGTTGCTCTCAAAATTTAAGTCTACTTAAATAGGAACATTAATAAATGGGACAAACTCGTTCAGATGATTGAAATAATTTTTAGTTGCCTGTTGGTTGGGATTAGATGTTTTCTGTAAAAAAAAAAATATCATTATATTTAAACTTGTTAAAAAATATTTTGTCATGACTCATTTAGGAGTGAATTTGATTCTGTCTTCAGTTTCAACTCAATTTTTGAGGCTGATTATTTTACATTTGTTTACTTATTTTATAAATCTGTGGTATATTAATATGTTGTATTTTTCCTCGGTCAAATGAAATTAATTCAGACCCCCTCACACACACACATTCACACTTGATTCATCTCACATTTATTTGAATCCAACCAATTTTTTTTTTTTTTTATTTAAAGATTTTAGTTCATAATTAAGATAATTGCATTTTATATATAAATTCTTTAAATTTGATTCAAATCTTTTATTAGTTTATTTACAGACCTTGAATGATAGATTAAATCTGAAATTGTTTGAAATCAGGTATCTTCAGGAAATCTATGTACCTTTTATATTTCTTTTCTGTATAAGGATTGAGATGAATGCTTATCTGTAAAAAAAACAAAAAACAAACTATTAAAAAAAACAAACTATTTTGATTGTTTGTATTAGAACTTATATGCAGGTATTTAGTAGTTGCTCATTTATTTTTTCAAATCCAATGCTCAGAAAATCAATCCAAAATCAATTCTTGCATTATAAAAATTAACAAGTTTAAAAGAAAATTAAAAAAATAACAGTTTCTATATGTTAAATATGAAAATAAGGCCTATTTTTATTCAGGTTAAATTACAAATGTAAATAAATTAATTTTTTTTATAAAATTAAATAATGTACTTGAGTTTTCTCCATATGGGATATATGAAATGTTTTTAATCTTAATAAAATGAATGTTGCTAGGATAAAAATACAATTATATATAAATCATATTGAATATTGTGTGTGTATATAAATGTTTACAGCCATTTTTATTTTTTAAACTACAGACTATGCAGTTGAAAATTAATTTTTGGCTGGAAACTTGTGCCTACCTTTTATTTATATATATATATATATATATATATATATATATATATATATATGCTAGGTTTTTCTTTCCAAAGCACAATAGTTTTAGACATGAACATGTTCTCTTATATTCATTTTCTTAAAAATAACCGTTAAACATGCAAAGGAAGCAATTTGATATATGAAATGTCCTCACACTAATATGATTTCTAATGTTTTTATTATAATTGAAAGTAGTTTTGGTAATTTATTTAGCATTTATTTTTCTTTAAAATGATTTTTAAAAATTCTAGTTTTTTTAATTAAAAAAAATAATTAGATATTGAGATTGATATTTTTATAAATGCATATGCAAACATTTTTTCATGATTGTCCATTGTATGAACTATTAAGTTTGAATTAGCAACAATGAAAAAAAATACCTATTCTTAATATACACATAAACTTAAGCTTGCTAGTCATAATTTAAATATGGTTTTGTATTTTAACTTACAGGCAACAGCTTTTTTTATCAAGTTATTCAGACTTATTAAAGTTCCTAAATAAATTATTGAAATAAGTTGATAGTCTTTTTATATGCCAAGATTAAGAATATATTATATGATTGCCTAAACATGTACACATATTTGTCTCTGCTGAAAAATTAACATGTTTGCTTATTTCTTTTGCCTGATAAGACAGTAACTAGTTTGCCTTTGGGTGGATGCAGTAATAATTTTTATGGTGCAATTTAAATAATTATTTTTGTTAGATGTACGTTATCCCATTTGAAGATTACCACTACACCATCTTCCTACACCAGACCAATAAATATTTATACAATGCTCACTTGGTCTATTAATGTAACCCACAATTGGAAGGATTTATTTGGCAGTTTCTTAAACTGGTAATTTTTTTTGCTCCTAAATGATATACAAGCAGACCTAACAGACTTAAATTTTCGTGCCTGGAATTAAAGGTAAGACAAGGTAGAAGAGTTGAGGACTAGAGACAAATGGAAAGATTTGAAAGAAAAACAATGAGCTCTTCAATTAGAAGGATGAACCATAATCAATGTATATTTATATATTTCCTGTCCCATCTGTAGTGGGAAGGCAGGTAAATCAACTTAAGTTAGTAAATTTATGAGTAATTATTTACCTTAATTGTTTTAATAATCTAGACAAAATATTTGAATTTAGACAAGATTAGGAGTTCCTGACCAAAATAAGACCTTTAATTAATCAGTTTCTTTACTCTTGCATTTGCTGACTTATTTGTTCAAGCCTTTCATGTGATGCCCTGAGATATCTTTGTCTATTAAGTAATTGTCTATTGCTTCAACTTCAACTTGAAATAAGCTTTTGTCATTCTGTTTGCTAATCTTTATCTTCTGAGTGATATTTTCATTTCACTGTTAAACATAAAATTTTTAATGTGAAAAGATATTGAGCAAATATGATTTATATAATACTAGCAGTAATCAATGAATCATAGCCATTGATTGTTTTAAAAAATATCAATGCAATTGATTAATTAAACAGTTCTTGGATCTCTGTTTTATTTGTGAATATTTTCTCTGCTTTATTGATTCTCAATACAAACTTTTTGTTTCATTACATCTCACTAAAAAATTTCTAATAATTGCAGCCATTTTTGACAGCATAGATACACTACTACTCATATATAAAAGAGGAAATGGTAACTAACATAAGTGAATTAAAGAAGGACCCGTCTGAAAGTGAAGGGAAATTAGATTTTAAAATAATGCTGAAGAGTTGCAGAGCATAATTAATTCTAGCCCCCACATAATCATAAGTAAGGTATTAGCTAGATGAAAACACCATAGCCACTAACGTCTTGCCATTATGTGGGAGGTATTACTGTTGCATTCTGTTTATAGTGTATATTCTTTTTAGAATAAGAAATTCTTGGTGTGGTGTACTATTCAAGTACATGTTAGATAAACATACAATATATGTGATAGAATTATTTTGGTGAGGACAAAAATAGCATTACTTTTACTTTAAATTAATAAATTGATATATCAAGAAAAAATTAGCTTGTGTAAACATAAAAATTAAGATTAATGTCTAGTAAATCTGTCAATATAACAAGAATTAGTATCATTGACATGTTTTGATGTTTGCAGTTCACAAAACTTTTCATTGAAATCCAATTAAAAAGACTATTTTGAATTTTGCAAAATATTCTAGCAATAATAGTTACAATTAATTACACCTAGTTCCATTTCTTAACAGAACGGCAAAGATATAATTTTGATTAGTCCCAACAACATATTTCAAATTACATTATCATTGAATTTTGAATGTTGATTAGATATTTGAATTTGTTTTTTGTTTTTTTAAATTATGGTTTTATGAATTTACTTATGACAAATTAATTTCTAGGATATAATTAATGTGGGACAATTGCAATCTCAGACCCTACACTGAGATGTAAGACGTCCAAAATACCTTAAGAAAGCTGATCCTTATTAAGCTTAAAGGATCAATTGGAGGAGTTGTTGTTTTCTATTTGCTATAAGAAGTCTAAGTTATCTTATCTACTGGATTGCT